ATATATATATATATATATATATATATATATATATATATTTAGAATTCTAATGGGGTATTGCCCTTCACAGCCGCTAGGCTAGAAAAACTGTTGGTTTAAGGACTACATGAAAAATCGAAAACAAGGAAATATCGTAGTTGCCTAAGATGTTATATCTCTGTTGATAGCTTTCCCTAACAGCTAGGGATGATTAAAATAATGTACACTACAAAAACAGCCAAGCTAGAATAAAGAGTCAGCCACAATGTTCAAAGTTGTGATATCAGAGGAAGAAAAAGGAAGTTAAACAAAAGCCAGATAAAAGCTCTTTTTTTATATTCATTTTGCTCTGCACTTTAAGATGTGGGGGCTTTATAAGAATGATAGTCAATCCATTAGCGTGAATAACAGGTGGTGGGATGCTGCTGGGCGGATGCTTTCCCTCTGGTCTAGTCAAAATTAGAGATGGCGGTAGATAGCCTTAGGAGCTTTTTCATAGGTACAAATATTCATGTTGCTGCTTGTTCTAGTTGCAATAAAAAAGGCAGGCCAACTGTTTCCCAATTTTTTCTTCTTTAACTTACCCACTTTCACATTACATCTTTACAGGTTTTTTGATATCACAACCTTATATGGCTGACTCCTTTATTCTAATTTGTTTTGTACATACAAACCTTAAATGTTTTCAATTGTCAATGTAGCTTACAACTTGAAGCCTTCCTTATAAAAATTTGATTTATAAGTAAGTTCTGAGTTCTTGTGCTATCAATAATTGCTGATTTGAGATGAATGACCACCTGTACTAGCTGGGCTTTATAAATTATCATTATTTTTATCATTTTGCAGGTTTTTTTTGTTTGAAAGATGAAAAGTTTTACGACTGATCCTGTAGTTAGCTTACTGAACTGTTTAGCGAGGGTAATCTTAGCTTCTTTTCAGATAGGATAATGGGTCAGCGTGCTCGGACTATGAATCCGAATGTTCATGGTTTGCCGCAAGAAAGTTCTCTGCAATTTGGGGCCATGGGTATGCCATAGGAGTTACGGTCAAACATCACTACTCAGCCAGACAAAAATTGTTCAAGAATTGGCGGAGAGTGTTATTAACTATCTGCCTTTCCTCTATTAGCTCAAAATCAGATATAACTGTGCACACGTAGCTCTTTATATAGCTATGCGCAAAAATTCTGAAATAAACAAAGTATTTTTCGTGTTATAGTAGATTAACTTGTTCAATGGGACGTTGTAAGTTTTGTCATGACAAGTATGGATTGAAATTTTTTAATATACATATTTTCTTCATCTTATTATATTTGCGTTGTTTGTCCGAAATATAGATATGGTTATTAGCGTATGCATGATTGCATTTTTAGATGTAATGACAATAAAATGCTTTTTAATTCATGAGGTTGAATATGAATGGCTGTCGCTGAGTTCATTTGTTATGGCCTCAAATGTCCTTTGGACAAACAAGTATGTCAATCACAGTATAAAAGTTGACTACTGAATTTGCGGTTTTATTTGTTGCTCTGCTCTAATAATGGTATTCGTTTGAAGTGCAGAAAGACCCACTTCCGAAGTTATAGCTGCCTTCCCTCTATTGTGACAGTTCAAAATTAGACGGTCAATGAGATAGCCTTTAAGTAGCTTTGGGCGAATTTCTGAAAACAAACAAAACAAGCCAGTCTTAATTAAAATACAAGTAGCAGACATAAAAAATAACACTAAAACTGGTGCCAATAACTATGTTTTAGAATGATTGTTTGTTTGTTTTAGAGCAGAACCGCATTGAGCTACCTGCTTTGTCCACCGCGGATTTTCTAGCGTTGTAAGTTCGTAAACTTGCCGGTGTCCCACCGGAGGACATTTTAGAAGGAAAAGTGTGACGGAAAATTGCAATAAGACATTTAGTAATTATAATAACCAGCTTTTAAGTAGTTTATCACATCTTTTTCACCCTTCCAGTGGTATCGTGGTTATGATGTCAGAAAAAAAAAACTGTAAAAATTCATATGAGCATACTATTATGTAAATATAAGTTTGAATACTTTAGTTATTTATTTGGTTACTAACATGCAATGAATTAACTGTCGTAATACTTTCCTTATGTCAAAGTATTATTTTAATGTACACTGTGTCACATTATCATACTTTTAATTTAGGGACACGATATATTTTCATATCTATAGTAAAAAGGTAAAATATGTTAAAATTCGATTAATATAATATGTGTGGCCTCACGGTAGCTCGGCGGTAAAACGTTAAAATTGGGTTTCGATACTCGTGGTGTACACGTCCAGATAGTTCATTGTTTACCTTTACATTTAACAACAAACAAGTATAATGTGTTATAAGTGTGACTGTATTATCCAGTGTATTAAATTAAAATGAAAGATGGAGTGAAAGAGAAAATGTAGTATATCTGCATTTCATGCATTTTTTCTAATTTGCTGGGATTAGAGAAATAAAAACTACTGCAGGGATATTTTTTAAATTCACGGCGTTCTCTATAGAAAACTAATCTCAATAAAACTTATTTTGAATAAATTACACTGGTGAAAATATTAATGTTATAATTTCATCTTTATTAAAATACTAATATTGATAATAGTGTCTCGGTATCTTTCACATTTATAACTTAATATTCTAGCACAAAATTCAAAATTTTAAAATAGCAAAGGGTTTTATCCTGGCAATAAGGTGACCCCCGTAGTAGCATGTATTGTGTAAATAATGATTGCGTAAGAAGGAATTTTTGTAAATATTTGCAGACGAATTTAGGTTTATGACTTTCAAAGTTACTTATGAAGTTATGTCTATAGTCTAGTCGATATTATGACTTTTGAGATTTAAAAATCATGGAAATGAAATGTATCTACTTTATGACCACGAACAAAAACAACTGCTTAACCTTTCGCATACTAGCAACAAGAAAATGGACAGAAAGTCAAGAAGAAATGCTTCAAATACAAGACGGAGTATTACTAGTAGTATTACTCTTAGAAAAAATGACACAAACCTTCACAAGAACACGAAGAAGGGATATTATGATAGAGAATTGTCACTTTTCTTGTCGTTCCCTAACTGGAGTAAGGATGGATTGTTTGAACTAAAAATATTGAATCAGCCAGAAGAGCAACATCGGGCACGTTATTTGACTGAAGGAAACAGAGGGCCAGTTAAAGATATACGTGGAATAGGGTATCCAGAAGTTAAGGTAAGCCCAATTAGGTTTTACTTTTTTTTCTAGTTTTTGTACAAAGTTAAAATGGTTCTTTGTCAAATTTAAGAAAAAAAAATAATATTTAAGATACTTACCCAAATTTACTGCAGAAAATAACATTGTCACACTGAATGAGTTATTGAATTGGTTAGGCATATAATTTTAATGATTATAAATTATAATTTTATATTTACACTTTACAATGGTTAAGATTCAGAAATTTAATGAATATTGAATAGATGTTAAATTAAGGATTCTTTTTTGGCTTTTGTCATGTTTTTTCTCATTCTTAATACAGATCATAAATTATTATAGATTCCACAAGTGGTTTATAAAGGGTTTGTAGAACATTTTGAGTATCTTTATTTTCTCATATGATGCCACAACACAGATTTATTATCAAATATTTAGGACCAATTCAACACCATTTGACGACTGTACTTTAGGAGTCCATGTTTATGTCATATACTAATTTATACCTTATTTATTTTCATAGTATAGAATGATTGAAGGGTTTTGTTCCAGAAGAGTACTTCAAAAAATTGGTTTATTCTAAAATTGTTACACTTAATTGGCAATTCATATTTTTTTTATTTTTTGCCAGGGAAAAGAAGAAGTATCTTAAATCCTTGTGAAATGAACTCAAAATATTTATTTCATGATGATCCTTTTTGTCATATTTTGAAGCCTTATTTCATATATTTTTTTCTTATAATAACTATTACAGTTGTCTCTTACCTTATGAATATTACTTGGATTTTGAAATGACAAAGGTTGGTTGATGTTACATTCTACTGTTCTGTTCAGTCAAATGAAACAAAAGATATTTAAAGATGTTTATTATTATTTTTTTAATCATATAAAACTTTATAAATAAATGTTTTCCATACTCTGTAATGTTTAATTTTTAGAACAAATTTGAAAAGTGATGTAAAGAAATTTTGATAGTATAAGAAAGAAATTATAATTTTTAAGTATTTACTGTAATAGGTTAAATTGCAGTTGAGCCAAACAGGTTTCTGTTATGGGACTAGTTTGTATTCTTAAGCATTGGTTAACCATATATATACACTGAGTGGTCACAAGTAAATAGACACCTAGTATTTCGTCATTTAACTGATTTATGCTAACTAATTTGTGTTCACAGAACACTATATAAATGAAAATGGTCCGCACACTAATTATCTTGTGATACAACATGCCTAGAG